TGAAAAAGAAAAAGTATTGAAATAAGAGGGATGGAAAATAGTTGATGAAGCTATAACTACTCAGGTGAAAGGGAAAACCTAGATGTACCTTTTTTTCTATGGGATGAAAAAGAAAAAGTGTTGAAATAAAAGAGATGGAAAATAGGTGAAAGGGAAAACCTAGATTTCAATCAAGTCTGAACATCCTTTCTTTGTAATTAGTTCATTAATTTATTTTTATTTTAATATTTTAATATCGTTCTCTGTTTTAGATAATGAAGGTCAAATCCCACCCTCGGCAGAAACCAAGGACATCTTTGGTATCATGGGAATTATTCACTTACTTGCAGGTAAGAATAAATCAAAACTACTGTTTTCTCATTTCATAACACATGTCATTCCCTTAATTATTATTTCTTTGTTAAATGGGATGTTAAATTGACTTGTGTTATCCAATTCCTCTATTTATTATTTACTTTCCCATCTGTCAGGTCCCTATCTGATAGTCATTACAAGGAAAAGACTCGTAGGCTATATTCAGGGCAATGAAGTATGGAAGGTGCTTGGCACAGAGGTGTTTCCATTCCCTAAAGCATTACTACATCTTACGGAGGAACAGGTACTCTACGTGTAATACTATCTACATTAATCCAACTCCTTCGCAAATATAGCCAATTAGATTGCAGGAGAGATATTTTGTATTTGGTAGTATTCCACTGTTATGTACTCCCATCAGATGTTTGAATTGATGAATTTTTAGTGGTGTGATAAAATAGTTATATATAACGCAGGGGCAAATCCAGGTTTTTTTAGGAGGGTGAACTATTTATGTGCAATACAAGTTACCAGTGAGTCAGCACATTAATTAATTATACAGAAAATGATTGTCAGCTCATCTGCACACTTTCCTTAAATATACCCTTGCAATTCTTTCTCATAGTCCACCATGGACTATCTCACTTGTCACTTGTATTTTCTTGTACATGCACTCATGCAATTTGTTCATATATTTGCCTCTTCAATTGTAAAATGTGTGTAAATTTATTATCAAACCTATCACCTGTAGCCTGCTCATGTGTATACAGCTGAACTAGAAAAGTCGAGTGATATATGGGATATTCCATAGTATCCCTTTCAAAACCTTTGATCATGTATATATGTAACTATTACTTATTTTTTAGTTGTCAAATAACTCATTTTATTCATCAATCGTTTCTCTCTTTCCATAGGTTTACTACAACAAGTTGTACCTATCTATGATCACTGCAGTACTACAAACAGATGGATTCTACTTCTCATGCACCTATGATCTTACTCACACAGTACAGAGACTATCCAGGATAAGTCCAGATTTCTTACAGATGCCTCTTTATGAAAGGGTAAACAGATGCATAGCACTGGCTCAAAACAACAGCTGGTCAACAGACAATGTCCAGCCAAATTGGCACTCGCCAGCCAAACACCTCTTAGGCTGGTCACATTGACTGGTCACAAGTTGATTGGTCTGAAATGGCCAAAGGGGTCCCTTTACTGTGTGGATATTCCAACCGGGAATCACTTTGATAAACTAGTATCGATAACCAATCATATTGTGATCTTTAGTTCAATATTTTTAAACAGCCAATCAGATAACACATTGATATAATAAGAGTGTGAGTTTGTGATAATCTGATTGGCTAACACAGTTGTCAGTTCAATCTCTGTAAAGTTCACTGTTATCTGATTGGTCTATTTTATTCAAGTGGACCCAGTTAGTGAGTCTGCACAGTTAAATTTAACAAGCATATGCATAGGACAGAAGATAATGTTATGTCTAATGATATGAAAGCAATGATATTGTTTTTACAGGTTGACCCAAGGTTTGTGTGGAACAATCATCTTTTAGGACCATTTACTGTCCAACCAGAGGTAGGAAAAAGCAGCAATTCAGGGGATAAATTACCTTGATAATCATTATTCAAATAAATGAATCTTTTTATTTAAACATGGTAGGTTTTTTATAGCTATTTAAAGCTTGTGGGGCCGTGTATCAGGACTCTGTACGCAATACTTTCTTACTATATTCAAATATTAAACACATATTTTAATAAAGGTTGTCATCCTCAAAGGCAATAGGCGATAGGTCATTCTGACATGCAAATGGTTTCGTTGAATACAAAGAACATTGAATCAGTCTCAACACTAGGTCTATGTTCTTGACGAGAATAAGAAGCAGAAAAACAAGTCATATCAGCTACAGTATTCTTGGATCTTGGAATGATGTCCTATTGTTTTTTGCTTATTACCTATCGCCTTTGGTGATGACAATGTTTATTGCAATAGGTGTATACACACTCTCTCAACTTGCATATTGATTTTTACTGGTTTTAAGTTAAAATTTTTCTGTCTTTCTAACAGCTCCAGAAATTCATTCTCCCCGTCATGCATGGATGTATCCTTAAAAAAAAGCAGTAACACAGTTATTGTAATTATTAATTTCTGGTCATCACAACACAAGAAAAAAAAAACTTAATTGTGTTGTATTACTAAATTATCAATTTTTGATAGTCCCTTCATACTCAATTCCTTTTGTAAGTTTTAAAAATACCATTGGCTGCTATATGGATGGCAAAACATCATTTAAAAAAAATTTTTTTGCCCAGTCGTAATGTTTTTCTATTTCAGACAACGAATAAATCTCTTGAGCTTGAAATTATGCATTCAAGATGTTTCTATTCATACTGTGGCAAATCCAGGAATTTTAGAAAGGGGGTGACAAAAACAAAGGTCTTACCAGGAATGTGAGGTAGGGGGTGGCTTAACCACCCCTGCATCGGCCCCAGCCCTATCCATGTGTCTTCTCATGTGTGACTGGTAAATACAGTAAATTAATGATACTCTGTGGGAAAGGCACATGGTCTGAAATGGGAAAACATGCACAAGCTTAAGAGCTTTTAGTGAATTCTTTTTTATTTATTTACAATGATATTTATTGTTCCTGTTATCTATCATTGCATGCCATGTCGTATGGATTATTATATTAGCCTTAATGCTTCAAAAGTCATAAGTATAAATCAGTGTACAATCAAGCAGAATTCATTTGACTTCATCGTGATATCAAGGCGTAGCTGTTATAGGGCAGGTATGTACTTGTACTTGGTTCACTCCACTAGTGCGAATGCAGGCTTTGAGAAAATCAAGGTTCTTGACAGAATTGTTTTAACAACTCTTTTGATGACATCTACAGTACTATATTGAGTTGGTTACCTGGGCTTCTTGTGGAAGAGTGTGAGCTATAAAATGAGCTCCATTTTTCTATTTGTGCCAAATTCATGGCATTCACATTTTACTGCCTACTGCTGGATTCGAAAGTCTGTGGCATATTTCATGAAGTAATCCCAAATATTTTTTCCATGGCAAATAATTAAATAAGAATTCTCTTGTTTTTTTTTATTAAATTGTTTACCAAAAGTTAATTTGATTCATATTAGAATATGGAATAATAAAGTTGAGTATTTACTGGACAGTTGTCCAATGATATTATTTCTTATTAAACAAAAAATCAGGGAAAAATAATGAAAAAATCAGGAAAAGGGATTACAGTAGTTCTGTTCATGATTACCTCCAGAATTCATATATTTTTATGCCTTTCATTTCAGGGGTTCGATACTACATAAGAGGTCTTGATGAAGAGGGTCGTTCTGCTAATTTTGTAGAAACTGAGCAAATTATCCAGTACAGTTCTGGAACATCATCATTTGTACAGGTAGATTGTCAGAGCAGGAGCTATGTTTATTACCTCACACTTCATAGCCTATTATTATAGGCCCCTTTGCATTGATTTCCTCCGTAAATTGTTCTGTGGGACAAAACAATAGGGCATCCTTTCTTATGCAAAAAAATCCATTGTTTTGTCCCCCAGAACAATTCCTCTAGGGACTCAGTGCAAGGGGTCTATTATCAATCATTATCTGTTGATAATAATCATAGAAAATGCTATGAAGCGTGAGGCAATAAAAATAATAGTATAATAAATATAATAAAATATGATATTAATAATGTGTGAGAATATATATGAAATATATATTTGTACTGCGGTTATAATGTRTCAAATTGAGCTGATCCTCACAGTATATCAGGCATCTTATGCAGCTGCAAATTGAAAGACTCAGAAAAATCACCAGGGCATGGGTTCAAATCCCGTTCAAGAGTCAGAATTTTTTCTGAGTCTTTCAATTTGCAGCTGCATAAGATGCTTTATATACTGCGAGGATCAGCTCAATTTGATAGAAATTAATGTTTCTTGAAATACTCTGAATTTTTCCCGAGTTCCTTTTAGTCAGCAACAAATAATAAATTATTTATGTAATGTTTCTTGTTTTTCAATTCTAGATCAGGGGCTCTATTCCACTGTATTGGTCACAACGACCTAACATAAAATACAAACCCAAGCCTGTCATCAACAACAATGCCGACCATGTAAGTTAAATACAAAATGATAAAGTTGGTACAGAAATAGGGACAGATGGGATCCATGGCCAAGGATAGCTGATATGCTATGGGGAATATGACAGAGACGGATAGAATGAGCAGTTACAAATGAAACTGAGGAAGGGGGAATGGGATGGGAATAGGGACAGATAGGTAGGTCAGAAAGAGACACATGGGAGATGGGACAGTTGGGGGAGGGATAAGGTTAGGTTTGGCCTACCAGGGGTGCCTGTCAAAGTTGTAATAGGAACAGACAGGGCGGGAACGAAGGGGAGGGGGGGAGGGTGTTCATTAAGTTTTGAAATGATAGAAGAAGGTCATGAACTAGCCAGAGATTCCTAGGGACCGGGGGGGGGGGGGGGGG